AAGCTCAGCATGTTTACTGCATACAGTTGAACAGGGAAGCATGATTATTGTACATGTTGGAACAAGGAGGTGGGCTTTAGAGTACACAGCTGGATTAGTGTCTGTAGGGAAGCAGTCCAGCAGCAAGCATCCAGGGGAGAAAGCTACGACCGCACACACTGTCAGTGTCTGCACTTGGATCAGCTTTGCCATCCCTCCGAGCCTCACCCACAGAAGGCTTTGCAACTCCCATGGGTCGGAGTCCTTGACATGGCCACACCATGTCACCAGACACATTTACTCAAGACTTCACTCACTTTCCACAAAACACCATGCCTGTGTGAAAATGTGTGTATAGAAGGAAATGAGTGTGATAGTGGCCACTGTGAGTCAGAGGTTAGAGAGGCTGTGTGATGCGAAGACACACACTTCTTTTTTTTTTTTTTTTTTTTTTTTTTTTTTTTTTGTTTTTTTTTTTGAGACAGGGTTTCTCTGTGTAGCTTTCCTTTTTTCCTGGAACTCACTTGGTAGCCCAGGCTGGCCTCGAACTCACAGAGATCCGCCTGCCTCTGCCTCCCGAGTGCTGGGATTAAAGGCGTGCGCCACCACCGCCCGGCAGACACACACTTCTTAGTAACAATGCTATTTTATCATAAAGGTTTAAGATAAAATAAAAATGTTGTTTTTAGTTTATATGTGTGATTCCTCCAAGTGTTAGTACTGTTATTTGTTTGGATGCCAGTTCTGATTAAGATGTTTGTCACACTTCAGAAGAACTATTAGGTGTTTCTTTTGGCCTAGGACAGGAATTTCTGAAAATTCTGGCAACTGTGAATACTGCCTTCTCTCCATTAGCTATTTACCATGATGTCTACCAAAGAAGGTAAGTCTATTGTCTCCATTTTGTACAAACTGAGGAAAGGGTATATTTTGGGTCTTGTCCATCAGCTTAAAAGTACTGTGCAGGATCTCAGTGTCACCCCTCTGTGAAGAAAGCCCACACCCCAGCCCACCACGTCTGCTGTTCCCATGCTTATGATCATATGAATGCTATACCTCTGTTAAACAATCCACACAAAGAGAAATGTCCTATGAGGAAATGTAATAGCAATCAAAGCATAAAAAGCCTGTGACTTCAGGTTGCAATTAGAAAATGTTCAATAAATCATAATAGAATGAAAGTACTACAGTTCCGCAGAGCCTCAGGGATCAACACTCTTGGCCACAGGCAGGGTGAGTACGAGACCCATTTCTCGCTGTGACCATGTCCTGGCATACCTATGTAATGTAAGATGCTCTGCCGAGGATTCCCATCAACGTGTGGAACTGTCATTTTTTTTTTAATGCCACAGAGAACACAGAAAGATCAGATCTGAGCTATATGTGGGAGCGGGGTGTGGTGGGGCCTGATAGAAACCAGCCATTCAACCCCAGGTGTGAAAGTGACCTCAGGATTTGCAGTGTTTATTCTGAGCACTTAGTACAGCAACTGCTTCCTGTAGATGCTCAAGCAGTCCTCATAAACGTCTTCCTATATAATTATATAACTTTCTTCTTATATAATCTGTATAATACTGGCTCCCTTTGTGCTCTACAATAGATAGCAGCATTTTTTTCTTGTGTACAGGGTTTTAGCTTCAAAACAATATTCAGAAACAACAAATTGATGTTCGGGGAAATTGAGCAGTTCAGGGTCAAATGTGAGAATGTCAGAAGTTGTAAGGAACCAAAGATCAGAGCAAAACTAGATAAAGCTTGGACTGAATTGAATTAAGCTACCTGTATGACAGTGATGCCAAGTGAATATACCCACAGGCCTTATTTGTGCAGATTGAGCACCCTAGAATGGTAGTCATGATCCAAGCATTGATGCCAATAGCAGCAGTGATGTGACACTTTTCTGGAACTTGTGATATGCCTGGTTTCAGCTATGGTTACAAGCGTTAGTGGCATCGAGGGTGTAGCTCATGTTTTCTTTCATCGAATGCAAAGTGCCATTGAGTGCTGATTTTGTAGGGTGCAGGGCTTCTAATGATGTTACATTTGAAAGAGGATATGGCAGGAAGACTGCACTGTATCACAGCACAGTTTGGCTATTTCCTTTGGGGCACCAGGGAACTGTTTTGGCTGACAGGGCCTTTATAGGTGGAGAGAACTAAAGAAATGTCTTTTCTTCTTCATATAACAAAAATGAACTGTCCTGTAAGTCCATCTATTAACAACATCTTGGGAAACTGCAGAGTGTTGTTTATTGTCTTGGTTATTAGCTATGGCATTTTCATCATGCTCTGAGGAGATGCAAAGTAGATCAATTCGTTGGGTTAAGGACATAGTATGGAAAACAGATGAAAGCAGAAATCAGATGCATCTCCCCCCCATTTTCAGCCTCCTCTTTTCTCATGGTGTTCGCTCATCAGTCAGTTTTTGGTCACGGTTGGCTTCGTCTTCCTCAACTTCATGAAAACCCATGTTGTCTGTACCCCAAATTGTACTTGCTTTCTCCAAAGTAGGAGAAATTGTGCCCATTTGCCATGTATTAACAGAATTGTTGAGTTTATTTCTAGTAATATAACGTTTTATACTGACTTCCATATGCTTCATGATATCATTTGATATTAAGTAACTCCAATAATATGAGTAGCTGATTGCAATCAGTAGGAAGAAAAAATACAGAAAGAGGAACTTGTCTACTCTTCCACCACCTGGCATGCCTATATAACCAAGAAGAGTAGAAATGTATTTGCTGTTTGAAGATAGATTTATTCACTACTATTTTTACTTGCTGTGTTCTTGAGGACAGTGTAGCCATCTTGAATAAAAGTCCAATAATCATAATGGATTTTGGACTCACAGAAAAAGAAAAATGATTGGAAAGAGACATGTAGAATTTCCCTTTCCACTGATTTCTTGATCAAGGAGGCTGTCCTTAGAGGGTGCAAATCATAGAATAGTAGTCGTGTATAAATGAGGTCTGGTAACTGATTTGTGTAATTTCAGCACCCAGGAGGCTGAGGCAGAAGGATTTCCATGGGCTTGAGGCCAGCTCAGGCTTCATAGGGAGCTATAGGCTGTCCTAGGCTGTAGACTGAGACCATGTCTCAAAACTAAAACAAAGTAAACAAATGAAGAATAGGGGCTTATTAAGGGGAGAATATGTATCTTCTAAAATAACTTTTTATAACAATTATACTAAAATGAAGTTTTCACAAGAATATGCATCAAAGGAAAACCAGCTCTCAAAGGTTTTTTTTTTTTCTGAAAATGTTACTGTGGTAATAGTGTTGACATTTTAATCTTTGTTAATATAGCTGACAGTGATTGCCTTTGCAACTGCCTGTAAATGGTTCTCATTATTTTAAACTTTATGACTTAAAATGCAGTCTTTAAATTTAAAATTAAGTTACAGTTACATTTTTCCCAGCTTGGGCCACTATATCAATATTGAGAAGCATCTGACTATGCTATGAAAATTCCAACAATGTCTAGAATAAATTGAGAGTTCAGTCAACATTTGCCACTGGCAAATTGACAAAATAATTTCTTCACCTAAGTCTCAGGGATCATTGCAGAAGAGTGAGGAGAAAGGTTGTAAGTACCAGAGGGGCAGGGAGTTTGCTGTGAGAGTGTGTCTCCTGAGAATATCAGAAGCTACACACATGTAGTCTCATCAATATGACCTGAACAAGGATGACATTAAGAGACAAGGTAATGTGGAAGGGGGTAAGGAAAGGAGAAATTACATAATTATATTATAACCTCAAAAAATAAAAAAAAAATTAAAAATTCGATATGTTTCTACACTATCTAGCCTGGGAAGAAAGATGGAAAATATGGGAAAATGTGGCAAAACCAGAACAAGTAGGGGAAAAAAATCACAGACATATATTACATGAGTGTGTAGACAAATTAGGGTTTAATGGTAGGTAGCTGGGTAAACGATTTTGCAAATCAAGAGCTGGAAGGAGAGATTCCAGCTTAGCGGAGGGTAGGAGTCTGCAGAAGTTGATGATGGGAAAGTCAGTATGGACTTCCTTTTCTCCCGCACTGTCTGCATGGCTCGGGTCACCAATCTCCTCCTTGAGTTCTTTAGTTTTTCCTTTCTGCTGCGCTGCCCTGTGCTTTCATAATTGTATACAGCATGAAGAACTGGGGGTAGGCCGATGGCAAAGCGGTGACTCTGTTTATTTCCAGCCCTCATCTAAGTATAACAGGGTCAGAAGAGAGGATCCACCCTAATCTAGAATAACAAGTCACCGATGAAGCGTTGTGCCAACAAAAACCCTTTGTAATGTGAGCTTTGTTTCCTTATTGAGTTGTGCCCTAGGGTTTGACTTCGTCTGCTGCCACTGTTAAGTCTAGAGTCCTGTGAACTTTAGTGGGAATTCGCCAAAAGCATTCTCTAATAATACAGTCAGCCCCAGGAAAGACATCTGAACATTAATCAAAACTGGTATGAAGGAAAAATGCTGGTAATTCTTTTAGATGAGAGTAACATGTTCCTGTTTTCAAATATTTCCTAGGTGGCACACTGAGTATGTTTAGAGAGATTTAAAACACTATGAGACTGCTATAGTAGAGGCTTTTTTTTTTAAAAGTGGGATTCTTTAATTCCTTTCTAGTTCTCAGCATAGATCTTTGTGTAGGAAACTGTCAGGTTATGAGCTCAGCTTAAGGCTTTTGGAAATATGATCACGTTGTTTCAAAGCACTTAATCATTTTCAGAGACTGTCTTTGTTATAATTCTTGGTACTAATTTCACTTATATTGATATTTAAGGGTTGTGGGGACGGTAGGTGTGTTGCCCTTTGTTCATGCCTTGCACAATTTCCGAAAGAAATTTATAAAAAAATTATAAAATGTCAGCATACATTTTATAAGTCTTCCCAGTACTGAACAAGTTAAAATTCCATGGGTGTATATCTGAACTGGTGTGTGTGGGTGTATATCTGAACTGGTGTGTGTGTGTGTGTGTGTGTGTGTGTGTGTGTGTGTGTGTGAGAGAGAGAGAGAGAGAGAGAGAGAGAGAGAGAGAGTGCATGGAGAGGACAAAGGTTAACATTATGTGTCTTCTTCAATTGTTTTCCATCTTATTTTTTGAGACAGGTTTTCTAATTAAAAGTAGAACTTACCAAGAAGCTAGACTGGTTGACCAGTGAGCCCCTGAAAATCTCCTTGTCTCCAGCTCCAGGTTGGAATTACAGCATGGGCTATCATACTCCATTTTTCAAATGGATGCTGCAATTTGAACTCAGATCTTCATTCTTCCACACAAGCAGCTAAGCCTTATCTCCAGCTCCTGGACTGAGTTTCTTATGAATTCATAGACATTGTGATGAAAGAAATAGCTATTTTGGGATTGCTGGAGTACAGGACTGGGGCTCTATATAGACAAGCTCATATCTATAATATGAGCACTCAGCAGGCTGAGACAGGAGGACTACCACAAAGCCAGCTTGGAGACCATGTTTGAAACAATTACAGGAAACAGCAAGAAATGAGTAGCCATGGTATACATAAATCTACAGTTTTGCAGTGTGATGAGATGTACCAGCCCAAACTTCTAGAACCCATTACTTTAAGTGGCCAAAGTGACTTTGCATGTGTAAATAGTGGTGAGAAGCATAAGAAGGGAACATAGGATTATACACATTAACCCAATTTAACTACATGAGAACTTTAGAGCAAAAAATGTTTTTCTTAGAAGATGAAGAAAATCGGGGAGATGGCAAAAATGGAGAAAGATCATCATGAGCTGAGGAAGGCTTGTCCCTTAGAACAGAAAATCAATATGTGGGCTGGGCACACGGCTCAATGTGTCTATAATGCCTTTGGTTCCATCATGAAGACCTGAGTTTAGATTCCCAGCTCTCAAGTCAAACAACAACAACCAAAACAAAAGCTGGGTGTGACAGCATGTGCCTGTCCACCCAATGTTGAAAGGCCGGCGGAAACAGGAGAGACAGGAGGACCCTTGGAGTTTAGTGGCCTACTAGTCTTCAGTGTGAGCACCAGGCTCAGGAAAAGGCCATGACTCATAAAATAAGGTGGAGAGTGATCGAGAAAGACACCTGACAGAAACCTCTGGGCTCAATGTGTGTGTGTGTGCCCACCATCACTGCGCTTGACCACTGACATCCAAGTATTTGTGACTCTAATTGATAGAATTCCTAAAGGCCACATTTCCTGAAATCAAGAAAGGTGAAAACTCCTTTCCTCCATATCCTGTCACTTTTGAAGACATTTGCTTGGTTTTTCTCCTGTCCGGGCTCTTATTGTAGACCCTTCAAACCAAGTCAGCAATTGTCTGAGGGATGCTCCGGCACACAATAGAAAAACATGAGGCTCTTTGGTTCTGGCCAGTCACAGAATGAAATCTAGATTTCTTGAGAAAGAAATTTATCCTCTATGTCTCAGATTCCGTCTTCATCAACAGTTTTCTTTTTCCCATTATTGTGGAAACTCATCTGAAACCTCCTAACATGAGCTAAATCTATGGGACTATGGGGTTGGCAGAACTCTAAGCTTGGCTGTTTGGAATCAACATTGCAGGTTTTACATTTTTCCTCATGGCTTTGATCTTTCATGTTCAACATTGTATCTAGTCTTTAGTGTGGACAATTGCAATAGGGCCTGCCTGGACATCTAGACAAGACCACAGTGATAGTAGTTGTAATGGGCACCGATTAAAAACAGCTGTGTCCAGTGATGTGGTCTGATGGTTTTCACATGGTTAGAAAAGAATCAAGGAGTTGAGAGCAGAAACAAATGTGTTTGCTAATCAAGGAGCATGCACACAGTGAACATGCTTTTACTGTAAGCATTATCCTCCATCAGTCAGCAGAGGCAATGCTGTCTGTTTCCTTCCTTCTAAAGTGACTTCCTCCACCATCTCAGCACACTACAATCTTGGGATGGTAATTACAGTGAACAGCCTAGAAGTAAGGAATGGGGAATTACATTCTCCATCCTTGAATGTGGAGTATGTGCACAAGTTATTTGGAATTCTTCTGTTTGGGAGACTTGTCTGTTCTCCACTTCCTTATTTTTTTATGGCAGCATGGACTCACGGTGAGCGCACACTTTTGATTGTCTCACAGCACTGTTTTAGCTTTTGTCTTTGGTCACTGGGTATTCTTTCAGTTTCCTGTGTCCCTTTAACACATTGTCATCAAATGTGCTTTTCTTTTCTGTCTGGGCTACTTTCTGCCACCACATACTGTCTCAGGCTCATCTTCTTTATTGTCTGCCCAAGTCCACGAGCCAGACACACCTTGTTTAAGGAGTTCTGGTTGCTTTCAGTGATAATAATTCATATTGGTGTTGGTGATGGCATTAGAAGGCAAGATCTGATGTCGGACATGCTCACTGTTACAGGGGAATCTTCACTTCCAGGCCCTGGACAGCAGAGTAGTAAGATGTGTGTGTGCATACAAACTTCTGAACATACAAAAGCTAACAGAACTTTTATGCAACCATAGATAGATAGACCAGACAGGAAAATACTATACACAAATGCCTCTAGCTCTCTCTTAGCACATGGATTGTTCTTTCCCTTGCCGATCTGTAACTCCTACCTCCAGCAGTGAGAATAATTTCCATCATCTGCATCATTTTGCTTAATCATTCCATTTCAGTCTAAATGGAGAGTGCTTTCTTTCAGATTATGAACTCATTCACCCATAGGAACAGCTCCATCAGTTAGCACATGCTGCTTACAGTTTCTTATTACTTTAATCTTAAATGCCTAACTCATTTCCAAAGTTAATTTGATCATCACTTTTTGCCTTAATACTCTTTGTTGAGCTCGATTCATATATTTCATAAGTTTCTTGCTTTTGTCATGTTCTTCATATGTTCCTAATGATCTTTTTTACATTTTAAATTAATTTTTTGAGAATTTTGAGTTTCCTACAACATGATTTATTCATGTTCACCTCCACCAACTCCTTCAAGATTAAAGCTAATTTCCCTACCCATCCAACTTTGTGTCCTTTCACAAAAGCCCTCTGAGACTAACTTGTGCTTCCCCAAATATTTTTGGGTGTGAGGTCTTCTACTAGAAGGTAGTCAACTTACTTACAAGAGGCTACATTTGTAGAGAAAAGTGAAACTAACATTCACCACTTTTCTTCTTGGCATGTGCCCAGCCCCCCTCTTTCATGCTGGGATTTGGCTTTGGCTTGATGGTCTTGTGCTCCTTGTGGTGATGACTGTGCATCCATCCGTGCAGCTGCCTTGCTGTGTACAGAACTTGTTTCCTTCAGCCTTCCACAGCCCTGGCTCATAGACTCTTGGTGTTCCTTCTTCCAAAAACTGACTCCCGAGCCTGGGGAGCGGGAGAGTGGTTTACACATTCTCTGTAGGTCTGATCATGCTGTAGTCTCTTTTTCTGTGCATTTTGACCAGTTGTGGGTCTTGGTGTTAATCATAACCTACAGCAAATAGAGGGTTTTTGAGATGTACTTGTCTATGAGTATAATGATAAATCATCAGGAGTCGGTTTAACACTATACCCATTTAGTATCACAATATTAATAAATTCTCTCCTAGAGCTGAAGACAGTTTCTTGATCTTTTAGTGATGCCAGATATTGGTTTCATCTTGTGCAGTAGGACTTAATTCCAATCAGAAAGTGATTGTTTACCTTTGTCATGTTCATATCACTATTGCACCAGTGGACATATCTTACCAAGCAAGTCATTGTAGCTCACACAGTTCTCAGCCAAGTATCATTCGTCATTACTTTCCTCCTGTTGTGGCTTTCACAGTCTTCCAGTACTATGAAGGCTAGCCAGTAGGGATGAAACTTCCAGGTCCACCTGAGTTTGATTTCATCGTGTTCTATGACTCAAGCATGTGATGTCTTTAGCAACAATCTATCACCCTTAGTTCTGGGGGCTGAACAAGAGCAATGGCAGTAACCTGTAATGATTGGGAGGATCTATAGGACCTCATTGTCCAACAACTCTGAAAGAGGTAAAGCCATAAACAGCCAGGTCCCAGGAATGGATTAAAATGCCTTTTAAAGTCATGTATGACCAAGCGTACATTTTTCTGTTTTTTCTTTCCTTTCCTTTCCTTTTCTTCCCTTTTCTTTGTTTCTTTCTTCTCCATCCTCTTCCTCCTCCTCCTCTTCCTCCTCCTTCGCACTATGTGTTCTGGCAAATGTGAAATTCATATGTCCACACTTTATTTTTATGTACTCTCTTTATCCACAGCCCACATAGTAAGTTTCACTCACTTAACCACTCACAAACTTCCGGCAGTCACCATGGGTCTTCACACCCTCTTCATGCTTTTACTTCCAGAATGCCATGTAAATGGGGTTATACATAGTGTAAGTGTGGGCTGGATTCTCTGCTTCTGAATGCGTCGCTGTGATCATCTGTGTTCTCTGCAGCTCAACAGCTAGTTGTTGTTTATTATGGAGAGGTAGTCCATTTAATGATCACATTTTGTTGTTTGACTTTTGTACTTTTGAGGGTGTGTAGCTAGAATTTTTTGGTCCTGCCTGGCCCACAGTCAGGACAAATCTCTCTAACCTGCTAGTCCTGCAGTCTGTATGTGTGTGTGTGTGTGTGTGTGTGTGTGTGTGTGTGTGTGTCTGTCTGTCTGTCTGTCTCTCTCTGTCTCTCTGTCTCTGTCTCTCTGTGTGTGTGTGTCTGTCTGTCTCTGTCTGTCTGTCTGTCTCTCTCTCTTTGTGTGTGTGTGTCTGTCTGTCTCTCTCTGTCTCTGTCTCTGTCTCTCTCTCTCTCTCTCTGTAGGCTAGGTTAGAGGTCAATGGTGGATATCTTCCTTAATCACGCCACCTTATCTTTTGAGACAGGCTTCTAATTGAACATGGAGCTCACTGATTCAGCTGGACTGGTTAGCTGGACCAGCAAGGCCCAAGGATCCTCCCATCTCCAGGTTCCGTCCCTGGGATTATAGACATATACTGCGGCACCTGCTCTTTCCCATGGGTTCTGGATGTTGAACTTTGGTCCTCACGCGTGTACAACAGACATTCTACCCACTGAGCCGCCCAGCCCT